ACAGGAGCAGCAGGGGGAATTAGTTTACTTGGAAACGATCTGCGAGTGTGTGTATATACTGCTGGTGAATATTAGATGATTGGATAATGAGGTGTTAGCAAGGAGAGGCTACAGAGAAGTAAATATCGGTGGGTTTAAGAGGAGACTTTTCTTTAAAGAATGTGTTGCTAATGCAAAGCATTCCATCCACCATGGAAGGTGCTGGGACCCAATGGACTTGGAGCATGGCATAAACCCCATCCTTTTAAAAGGGTATTAGTGTCCAAGTTATACCCCGGCCAGAAGGAAACAAAGATTGACAAGCAAGCAAGGCCAAGATCTGGGGAATATTCCTTGCAGGCAACACCGTCCCTATTTTAAGAGGCTGAAGTTGATTCCAGCTCCACTAAAATCCCAAAAAGTTGTGCTGTGGTTTCAGTGGGAGCAGAACTGGGTGGTGAGACTCGTTTTCCAAGCGCAGCCCCACTTATGAGGTTGCTGAGATCTCCTCAACCTCACCAACTTCCAACTCAAGTGTCTGAAACACTGGCCCTGTCATTCCCTCCTCCATGCAAGGGCATTTTCCTGCTCTGCCACCCTATTCCATGACTGTTTACTCTGACTTGCTTCATTACTATAATTGTTATTAAAAGTAGGACTTTAAGGAGCAGCGCTGAGATTTTCACATTCATTTGCAACGGTGCAGCTTACTTGCCTGAGCGTTTATGGGATGTTAGGCAAAGAGGATTTGGCACTGTGTTTTTTAACATTTAAAGAAGGGAAATCAATTACCGTATCTTGAAAAAGGGAAGCTGTTGGTAAGTGACATTTATGTAGATTTTCTGTAGCATGTAAAAGTGGCCTTTATTTTTCTAAGGGGTATTTTCTGCTCAGAGTCAAATTCTTTTCATGCAGCTTACAAAAATAAATACTTGTATTTTGCTAAGATCATAATAGCTCATTAGAAGAGGCTGAATTTGGACCTAGACTAAAACCTAACACCACAGGGCTGAGCATGCTTACTTGAACCTATAATGTTGCTAGTTCTTGCTCTCTGGGGAAGGAGAGGACGAGGGGAGAGGATTCAGCCTTCTTAATTGTGAACCTCATTAGTGACGGTTGCTAGGCAAAACACACACCTACTTTCCGCGCATATGAAAGAGATAAACAATACGTCATAGACCATAATGACTCTGGTGCTCAGGGCGACCTTTAATTATTATATTTTTGGTCTCTTATACCTTAGTTATTAATGCAGAAAAACAAATCAGGGCTGTGTGTGTAGACCGCGGCAGATTTGTAAATAATTTTCAGTTTTTTGATGTCTAGATCGCTTTGCCTTCTGACAGTTGGTGCTTGCTTCGTTCATTTCCCTCTCTGACCATTGGTAAATACTATTTGAAACCTAAAATGGCAATGACTGCATTAGCAGCTTACTATTGTTATCACTTTTATTAATTTTATTAGTGTAAAAAGCCAAGATTCCGTCAATATGTTGGTAACAACTCGAAAGAGCAGTCCCATGCAAACTGATGTGCGTGGCCTGGCCACATCTGGTCACAGTGGGTTTGAGAATCTAGCTCTTTCAGAACTGAAGATGTACTTGATCCTTGTGCATTTAAATTTTGGGCAGCCCTAAAGTGTTCAGGCACTTGGATTGGATGACCCTTCCAACTGAAAAGATCCTATCCTATCCTATCCTATCCTATCCTATCCTATCCTATCCTATCCTATCCTATCCTATCCCATCCCATCCCATCCCATCCCATCCCATCCCATCCCATCCCATCCCATCCTATCCTAATCCTATCCTATCCTATCCTATCCTATCCTATCCTATCCTATCCTATCCTATCCTATCCTAATCCAGTTTAAACCCTTACACTGGTATATTTTACAGTGCAAACGAAGGGATATTTAAATCTAAATGATTATTTGGGGCTTTGCAGGTGAATAAATACATGTGTTCATGTGTACGGGCACAGCTGCGATTGCGTGCGAGTGATTTGGAGGCTGATGGGCTCCAGAAAGATAGGATTTCACAATTCTGGATTTCCAGGGACACTTTCCATTCTCCTCTTCATCTCAGACTATCTTCTTTTAGCAGTTCAGGCAAGAAGTCAATCACATTGAGTCAGGCTGAAGAAAAACATTTTATGCTGTTTTTCTCATACAAACCCCCTCCTGCCGTAATCTGCAGTAAGGCCCAGCCACAGGAAATTGACCTCACAGTAAATTCTTTACAGATTCGGTCATGTTTTTACCATCCACTTAAACTTGCATACATAACCTGAGACTGTACCTCTGGATCAAGGAATATGGCAAGCCAAAATAAAATCAAGTCAAATTAAAGAGCAAGAAAAAGCTGCAAGCAAAACAAGATTGAAATAAAAAAAAAAAAAAAAAAAAAAAAAAAAAAAAAAAAAAAAAAAAAAAAAAAAAAAAAAAAAAAAAAAAAAAAAAAAAAAAAAAAAAAAAAAAAAAAAAAAAAAAAAAAAAAAAAAAAAAAAAAAAAAAAAAA